ACCCACCACGCCACCTACCAGCCCCAAGGCCTTCTGGAAAGCTTTCTGCCATCAGATGAAACCACACGACACCTTTTACTGCCCCGGCTGTACGTGTGCACTGTCCCATACTGTGGCCGCCAGCCGTGTGTAGTTAGTGAGCATTTGCCATGAGCCTAGTCTTTTTCTGTTTATTTTTTAGGTTTTTGTTTTGAGAGAGATTTTTGCTAAAGGGTACATGTGTTCACCAGAGAGACAGAGAGACGGAGGCAAAAAAAGTGAGGAATCACTCCCCAGGGGGATGGCCACACCACAGTTCCTTCTCCTCCGTGCTCCTCTTTGGGTATACGCGCATGCGCCCGGTGTGAGTTTTAAGCTACATGGAAGTCCAGCGATGGAACCGTTGCATCATCTGCAGGTCCCTATGTGAGAGTTATAAAACAATCCCCAAAACAATGTGAAACGTCTCATTAATTCTTTTCATATTGATTGTATTATATTAAATCGATGATCTTTTTAGTCTATTGGGTTAAATAGAATACATGATAGGGGCCAGTAAGGGGCGTGGTGGCTACAGCACTGGCCTCCCGACACGGCCTTCTGTGGCTTGAGTCCCGGAACTGGTGGCTGGGAAAGTGGAGACGGGAATGAGGTGTGGCCATCCCTCCGGAGGGGGATTTCTCACTTCCCCTCTGCTCTGTCTCTCTCCAGTGAGCAAACGTACACGGTGGCAAAAATCAAAACCAGAAAGCAAAGCGTTATTGGCTCTTTTTCCTTTTCTCATAATAGAGTTGTGTGCACAGGCGAGTGAGAGAGACAAGCACCCTCCACAGTCTGGTCTGCCATGATGCCACCCTCCGGCCCTCCAGCCCGCTGGATCCTGGGCAGCCACGCGCTGCCCTGTGTTTCAGGCCCCCAGGCCAGGGATTTGAACCAGAGTTGCCACGTGGGATCTGGCGTCTCTTGAACAGAACATTACGCTGTACCATGGAGCTGGCCTTAGCTGCATTTTTCTTTTTTTTAACTTAAAAACTTTAAAAAAAAAAAAAAAAAGGCAGGGGCTGGCAGGTGGCGCGGTGGCTAAAGGATGCTGGATTCCCAGATGGCCGACCAAGGTTCAAGTCCCAGACCTAGTAGCTTGCTTTCTCACTTTCCATCTCTCTTTCTCTCTCTTACACTCTGTCCCTCTCTGTTCAAATTAAATTAATTGTTTTAAAAATGCAAGGCCAACCAGTAGGTGTGGTGGTTAACGCAGCTGGATGCCACATGGCTGACTACATGGTTTGAGTCCTGAACCCGATGGCTTGAGAAACACGCTGGGCACATGTGCATGCACGCACAAAACCCCAAGAGGAGAATGGAGGAGAAGGGATTATGGCATGGCCATCTTCCCGAGGGTGATTTGCAACTTTCTGTCTCTGGTGAGTATATGCTCCCTATAGCAAATTATAAAATACAAAGTTAGAAAATGTTAGCTTGCATACATAGCTCTGTTATATTTCTTCTTTTTTTTTTTTTTTTTGAGAGGTTTTTGCTATAGGGCACGTGCGCTCGCCAGACAGACAGACAGAAAGCGAGAAATCACCCCCCAGGGGGGATGGCCACGCCACAGTCCCTTTTCCTTCATTCTCCTCTCGGGATCTTGGGCACACACACACACACGCCCGGCGTGAGTTTTAAGCCACCGGGTCTGGGATGTGAACCGCGGTCGACTACGTGGGAATCCAGCGACATAGCCATTACACTAACTGCTGGTCCCAAGTGGGGCCAGTTCTTATCGCTGTTCACAGGGGCGGGGGAGAGTCCATCTGCCCCTGTGTGCCCCCGTGTCGTCACCACCCACACGCCTTGCCACATAAGGAAATTCCCAGAATATTCTTGAAAGAATGGGTTATTCAGGGCTAGACAAACAGCTCCCCTGAGCCTGTCAAGGCTTAAGGGCAGCCAGCTCTATTTCAGGCTTTCTCCCCTGGGCCTGACAGATCTGCTGAAGACAGGCCTGAAGTCGCTTTCCGGAGTTCTCCTGCAGCCTGGGCCCGGGGAACCCTGCGCTGCCTTGGAAGTTTATCACCGGGAGAGGACTTAGCCCTCCACCCCCAAAATGGCAGATCTTCCCAAGACAACCAGGCTAGGACAGTTTTTTTAGGGGGAAGCTGTATTTTTAAAAATAATTATTTATTGGGCCAGCAGGTGGTATGGTGGTTAAGGTGCTAGACTCCCGTATGGTCGGCTGTGGTTTGAGTCCTGGACCTGAGCTTGGAAGTTTATCACCGGGAGAGGACTTAGCCCTCCACCCCCAAAATGGCAGATCTTCCCAAGACAACCAGGCTAGGACAGTTTTTTTAGGGGGAAGCTGTATTTTTAAAAATAATTATTTATTGGGCCAGCAGGTGGTATGGTGGTTAAGGTGCTAGACTCCCGTATGGTCGGCTGTGGTTTGAGTCCTGGACCTGAGGGCTAGCTTAATTTTATTTATTATTATTGTTTTTTTAAAAAATTTGACCGGAGACACAGAGAGAGAGAAAGTAAGAAAGCAAGCCGCCAGGTCCAGGACTTCAACCATGGTCAGCCACGTGGGAATCCAGCGCCTTAACCACCAGGCAACCTGCCAGCCCCAAGGCCAGGACAATTTTTTTTTTCTTTTTTTTTTTTTTTTTTTTTGAGAGACTTTTTTGTTATAGGGCATGTGCTCGCCAGACAGACCGAGAGAGACATAGAGACAGAAAGCGAGAAATCACCCCCCAGGGGGGATGGTCACGCCGCAACCCCTTCTCCTCTGTTCTCCTCTCGGGATCTTGGGCATGCACGCACATGCGCCCGGCGTGAGTTTTAAGCCACTGGGTCCGGGACACGAACCGCGGTTGACTACGTGGGAGTCCAGCGACATAGCCATTACGCTAACTGCTGGTTCCCAAGGCCAGGACAATTTTTCATGTTTGTGATACTGCCATGATTCTCTGACTTTATAGATGGCAGAATCGAGGCACAGAAGGTCCCGCAGTTTGCTTGTATTGACGAAAGCAGAGCGAGCGTAGGGTAGGTACTGAACGCGCGTGATCAGGAATTCCCACTCTGCGGACTCGTCCGAGGTGCAGCAGCAGAACAGGATACGTGTGTGGGCCCCGCAGCACAGTAGTCCAGCACTGTGCTCAGGGAGCCAGAACTCAGGACTGACCACAGTTCAAGTACCAGGCCTAGCAGCTTCAAAATCACCCTGGATGGGACCAGCAGCTGTCATAATGGCTGTGTCACTGGACTCCCATGTAGTCAATCGTGGTTTGAGTCCCAGACCCAGTGGCTTAAACTCATGCCGGGTGTGTGTGTGTGTGTGCCCAGGATCCCAAGAGGAGAATGGAGGAGAAGGGATTGCGGTGTGGCCATCCCCCTGGGGGGTGATTTCTTGCTTTCTGTCTCTATCTCTCTTTCTGGCGAGTGCACGCGCCCTATAGCAAAAACCTCTCAAAAAAAAAAAAAAAAAAACTAAAACAAACAAACAAACCAACAAAGAAACCATGCCGGGGGCATGTGTGCATGCATGCCCAAGTCCTGATGGTCTGGAGAAGTAGGGAAGAGATTGTGGCATGACCACATTCCATGGCGGGGGAGCTTTCTCCTTCTCTGGCAAGTGTATGTACCCTCTGAAAAAATAAATAGGGCCAGGGCCAGCAGGTGGCATGGACTCCCACACAGCCAACGGTTCAAGTCCTAGACCTGGTGGCTTGAGAATCACACCAGATGCATGTGTGTGCGTGCCCAAAATCCCTAAAGAGAATAGAGGGCATGGGATTGTGGTGTGGCCATCCTCCCAGGAGGGGGATTTCTCGTTTTCCAGCTCTGTTCTTCTCTGGTGAGCACATGCACCCTATGGCAAAAACCTAAAATAAGTAAATGAACAAATGAATAAATAAAAGAAATTGGGCCAGCCCATGGCACAGTGGCTAGATCTCAGCGCCAGCTGCGTGGTCCGAGTCTGGAACCTGGCAGCTTACAAACATGTGTATGCACGCCCCAAATCCCGGAAAGAGGGTGAGGTGGAGGAGGAGGGATGCGGCGTGTCCACGCCCCGCGGGGTGCTTCCTTTCCTACTCTGTCTGCCTCTCCTTGGCGAGCACCGCAGACTGAGACTTGGTGACAGGTAAGACACGGTGGTCCGTGAGGTGAAGCCATGTGGAAGTCAGGTTCTCGTCTTAAGACCTCCCTGTGTGTGGGGCACGCATGTGCCCATGACCCGGGCTGGCTAAGGCCAGGCGGGCTGTGCCATCGGGAGCTTGTGGGGGTTGCCCCTCCATCGTTCCGCTCACAGAATAAATAAATAAAACTTTGGGACCAGCAGTTAGCGTAATGGCTATGTCGTTGGACTTAGTCAACCGCGGTTTGAGTCCCTGCTCTGGTGACTTGAACTCACACCGGGCGAGTGTACATGCGTGCCCAAGACCCTGAGAGGAGAATGGAGGAGAAGGGACTGCGGCGTGGCCATCCCCCCTGGGGGGTGATTTCTCGCTTTCTCTCTCTCTGTCTCTCTCTGTGTGTCTGGCGAGCGCACGCGCCCTATGGCAAAAACTTCTCAAAACAAACAAACAAAAACCAAATAAATAAAACTTTTTTTTAAACTAAAAAAAAAAAATAGAATTCCAGCTGCGGGCCCAGCCTAGGTGGCAGTAGTGGCACGCTGGCCTGCTGCCTCCCCACTGCCCTCTCCAGCAGGCACCGGGAGGCCCCACCCCATCCCCACCTTAGCGCTTTCTGACCGTGCCTTTCCTTACCCCTCCCTCTCCCGTAGTGGGCGAGGCCTCTCCAGTGGCCTGCAGCACAGGCAGGCCCAGGCCCACTGGGAGGCCCTGGCCTGACCGCTGTTTCGTCTTTGCTGTGGGTGTGCATGCTTGCTGGAGAGGCGGCAGGGGGTGGCCAGGCTGAAATCCATTCTCGCCACTCTCCTCCTGGGATTTTGGCCACGCGTGCACACGAAAACCTAAAATAAATAGGCAAACCGACCAATGAATAAACAAAGTCCCGTGCTCCGTGGGATTTTCGAGCTGCCAGACCTGGGACGCCAACCACACAGCTGGCTGTGCGGGGTCCAGGCTCCTGACCTCACAGCACCTGCCGGCCCCGGCCGCTCTCTCACCGACTTGGCCTCCTGCTCCCCTGCTGAGGCCTGCTGCGCCCTCCTTCTGGCACCAGCGTGACCTGACCTCTCCTTGCCCAGTCCTCCCAGGGACTGCCCAGACAAGGTGACCTGACTTCTGTCGAGCTGTGCCGCACTGCCAGCTTCAGCCGGTCAGCCCTCAGGCTCGCGTGTGCGCCTGGCGTGCTGGGGGGGCCCTCGGGTGTGAATCCAAGCCCTTCCCATGTGGACCCAGCGTCACACAGCACTGTTACCCCGGGCCACCAGCTGGCCTCCTGAGAGGCTTCTGCACCCTGACCAATCCGAGTGTCGTTCCAGTGGGTCAGCGGGAACGCATCCGCATTTCTTACGGCCCCTCTGCCAGGTCAGTACGCACGCCCACGTGCGCTCACTCTCCTCTCCACCGCTCCTCTGACCCGGGGCCGGAACCCTTCCTAGGCTCTCCCCAGCCTCCCACCTGGGTCCTCCTCCTGCCGCAAGTCCTCCAAGGAAGAACAGAACAGAGCAGTTTCCACAGTCTCCAGAAGCCACGAACAGACTTTGGGAAGATGCTAAAGAGCTGCAGAAGCCAGGATCTTTAGGCCGCCCCAGGGGCTTCTTGCTGAAGGAGCAATGGTTGGGAACGCTGCAGCCTGGGCGTCCCTGTGCCACCGTGGTCCCCACCCATCTGGAGGCTCTTCTAGATGTGTCCGGGTCTTCTACTCCTCCTCTTCACTGAGGCTTGGCAGGGCCGTGCCTTGGAGGGGTGGTGGAGCGGCAGGGCCACGCGGTCTTCTATGAGAGCTTGGTATTTCCTTAGGAGGTCCTGGCTCAGGGGTGCGCTGGGGAGCAGGGCCAGCCTCTGCGCCTTCTCTTGGTAATGAGGCAGAGGGTTCGGGCAGGGCCAGCTCCGGGCAAAATCGTTGGGAATTGGATTGGGCATGAGCTGGAAGCCCTGGGGCTCTATCCTTCCTCCAGCCGATATGTGCTGGTACCTGGGGGGGGGGGGGGGGGGGGGGGGGGGCGGGGGGA